ATTTATAACGGCGAGGTGGCGGAATTTTGCCACGGAGCGTGGAATCACCACGAGAAAAACTTTGCCTTATAACCCACAGTCAAATCCGGTGGAGAGAGTGATGCGCGAACTTGGACGCGTTATCAGGGCATACGCCAGCGACAGACAACATACATGGTGGAGAATAGTAAGCAGAGCGGAAGATGTCATAAACGACACTGTTCATTCATCAACGGGTCACACACCCAATGAGATTCATTACAACGTGGAAACACACTGGCACGTTTGCGACGAATTGCGACCGATGCCTACACAGCAAGATGAAGAAGATAGATTAGAACGAATTCAACAAGCGAAAGATAGATTAGCCAGTCAGGCTAGAAAGAGAAAGGTACAGGCTGACAAGCATGAGGTGGCATCTAGGCTACAACCGGGTGACGGCGTAATGGTCAAATTGCACCGCAGATCGGATGCAAATCGAAGGTTGACTCGCAAGATTCACCTAGTCTACGATGGTCCATATCGTGTGGCGCAAGAAGTGCGTGAAAATGCCTACTTGATAGAGAGTTTAGATGGACATCCAAAAGGAGTCTATAACTCACGGCAATTAAGACCGTACAGAAGACCAATCCTGAGAGAGGACCAAGATAATAGCGACGGGGAAAGTAACAATTCGCACAGCGAAAATGAAGATTCACATCAGGAAGATGATGATTCGACAAACGAAGATATTAATTCACAACGTGAAGATTCAGAAGATTTTGATAGTCAAGAAGACGAATTAGAAGTTTGCGTGATTACTATGCACGAGTTAACGTCATCGGAAGAGGACGATGCCGACTCGGACTGCGATTGGACATTGTTAACCCAGACAGCCGAGGAGTACGATGAACGTTTTAACACAATAAATATTAACATCAATGAAGATCTTAACAAGGAGCAACATAATTCTGCCGAAAAGCAATGTAAAACTAATCAATTATCCAGTACGTCAACAATGAAGACAACCGAGGAGAATAAAAATGAACAATTAATAGAGACAAAGATAAAAATAGAAAATGCCGAGGAGCAACTCGAAGATGCCGAGGAGCAGAATTATCAACCAATTACATCACAGGAAGATATTAAATATGAAGTTAAAATAGAAATTACCGAGAAGAACACCTCGAGACAAATAAACATAGTAAGCAATGCCGAGGAGCAATCAAAACCAATTAAGGAGGAGATAGGCGAAAATGCCGAGGAGAACGCCGAGAAGCGTGATAAACTACCTAAGGAAGAAAAACTTAGCCAATCCGATGAGGACAACATTGAAGAACGAATAACTGAAATAGAAAAAGAGATTAGTGAAAAATTAAGTGCTATCAAGAAAGAAGAAGTGGGGGAGCCTTTCGATAAGAAAAATGACTCCTTCATTCACATCAAGAGGGTTCGTACTTACCTGAGGAGCGGAAGTGAAAATTCTAGCAACGATCCAGGAAACCAAGACGACCTGAAACATAAAAACAAAAAATTAAAATCAAATAACAAAAATAAAGAAGATACTTACCAAAGGAGCGAAAATGAAGAAGAGGACTTCAGCGAAGATCCAGAAGACAAGGATGACTATAAAAAATGGAAAAGATTGAAAGATTACTACAAGGATTCCAGTGACGAATCGGAAGACGAAGAAAAAGAATATAATAGATGGAAGAGAAGAAAAAAGCAAGTAATGGAGATAATAAAGAAAAATAATAACTACCGAGCTGAAGATTGCCGAGAAGAAGGAGCGGTGGAACGAGAAAACTCGAAGCCAGCAAACGTTGCGAATCCCGTAACGAAAGTCAAATCGCTATTGGCGGAAAGGTTTCACTTAGCATCCTGCAGTCAATTGACTGATTCTGAAACAGAAAACGAAGAAAAGGATAATAATTTGGAAAACAAAGAAACCGAAAATAGAGATGACCAATTAGAGTCACCGGACGAAATTATGTTGAGTGAGAGCAGTATGAGCGAAGGAGAAGAGCGAGAAATTGCAAATTGTTTCAATCAGATCCAGGAGATAATTAACAGAAGATTTAACGGCGACAATGTCAATAACGACAGCCAACAACGCGAAAATGCGAATGAACATCCAGAGGACAACGATTCATCCGATGGACATAGTCAAAATGACGAAAATGATAATAACCAACCAGAAGAAAATGAAAATTACGATAGCGAAGGAGAAAAAACGATACATTCGTCAAGAGGATCAACAAGATCATTTAACAGAACATTAGAAGAAGAATTATTCATGGATATGCAAGATCCAAGCGAAATAGTATTTTCCGAACAGGAAAGATTAAATATAATAAGTTACAACATAAAATTCAGAAGCAATCCAGGACATTGGATACGCGAGCCAATCAACGGCGAGTTAGAAGTTGCAGCGAGCGACGGATGTGAAACAGCCTTAACGCGTGTGCGCGACACACTGCGTGACGAGCGCCATAACGGCAGATTTGATCGAGCAGCCGTAGTGAACGGACACTCGAGAGCTCGAGTCCACAGAGCTCAGAAAAATTATATCGATATTCGAAAAGTGCCACAGAACGAGAAGATGAGCCGAGAGAAGAGAAGACTGGAGAGATGGGAGGATAACCTACAACGTAAAATAAAGAAATATACGGATCA